CAACTGAAAATAGCACAAATGTCAGGGTATGTCAAAACATCTCAAGGACCCCAAATACACCTTAGACCCTTAATTTTTTTTATTATTTGCTCATTGATTTTTTTGGCACAATTTAGCATTTGAATTGTGATGCTTTATAAAATGATGATCTTGTCTGTCAGAATTTTCTATTAGATCAAATGGATGTTGTTCTTTAGAAGTCTGTTCTTTAGAAGTCTGTAGCACCACCCCAGCAGAGTACGTCCCTGGGCTGGAGGTCCAGTTGCACCGTAAACCAGCTCAATCTCTTCCATCTCATATAGGGGTATACTGGAAGAGATTTTGATGGAGAGCGGGAGAGTCTTCACTCCGATGAGGCGAGTGAAGAAGTAAGCTACTTATACTGCTGAGAGTATAAGAAGTCGCTGAGAGCGTCGTTAAGGGGAGAAAAGTGCTCTGTGGGGGCCCCGCTGGGCATTACTGGTGTAGCACCACCCCAGCAGAGTACGTCCCTGGGATGGAGGTCCAGTTGCACCGTAAACCAACTCAATCTCTTCCACCTCAGATAGGGGTATACTGGAAGAGATTTTGATGGAGAGCGGGAGAGTCTTCACTCCGATGAGGCGAGTGAAGAAGTAAGTTACTGCTGAGAATATAAGAAGTCCCTGGGCTGGAGGCCCAGTAGCACCGTAAACCAGCTCAATCTCTTCCATCTCAGATAGGGCTATTACTTTATTTTATTTTTACTCTTAACTGTTTTTATTTATATTGATTGCATTTACTGAATGAGAACTGTGCCACTGTTTGTCCGACTGTTACTGTACTGTACATTTTATTTTCGACACTGTATTTTATTTTTATTATTATGATTTTTTTTATTCTAAACTGTTTTAATTATTCTGACTTTAATTTCTTCCATGTAAAGCACTTTGAATTGCCACTGTGTATGAAATGTGCTATATAAATAAACTTGCCTTGCCTTGCCTTGCCTTGTTCTTATAATGACTCACATTTACTGGAATCAATAATGAAAGTAAAACTTTCCATGCCTATTTGTGTTTCAGCAAGTTTTTTTGTGTTTTTTTTTGGGTACATTATGGGGAGGAGCAACAGTTAGACACAGTAGAAATATAGCTTTCATTGCGACTGATCTGAGCTTTCTTTTGTCCTTTTTCCTGAGCACTGAAACTGAAGCATGTCTCTAGTACACAAAGGTATTGTTCTCCAGGCACTTTCCAGCTTCACAGGTGCTACTGTGAAGCCCTTTTCAGAAGACAAACAGGATGATCAAAATCTCCATATTTTTAACTTTTTGACTACGGTCTTTTTTAACAAACAGACTGATGTTCCTGGTGATGTTCCTGATGCAGCCTCGCTAAAATGTTTTTGCAGCGAGTTGTTTGTGGACGTAGACAACTTCCTAGACCCAAGGTTTGATTATGATTTCACCGATTTAAGAGATGACTCAACTTGCATGCGTGGAAATGAGCCATACAGACGCCCTTGTGGGTGGAAACGTATTGCCATCAATGTCCTGGATAAGTATTGTGATGGAAATGCCTGGTTGGGCACAGATGGATGGAGGAGTGATTCAGTGGCTGGCGAATGGCCTGTCTCCTATCATGGAACCGCCATGAATAGTGCTAAAGCCATCATTGAGTCTCATTACATACCAGGCCCTGGACAAGTGTACGGCAGAGGAATCTATTCAGCGAATGACATTGAGGAGGCCACTGATTATAGCCACACAGTGAAATGCGGAGAGACTGGTAAGACCTACAATGTCCTTCTGCAGAACAGAATCAATCCAAAAATGAGAAAAATTTGCTCCAATGGGAAGTACTGGCTGATTGAGGTTCCTGAGGGCACCCCGCCTGATAAAGAGAGAGAAATTGTAGAGAAGTCAATTCGCCCTTATGGAATTCTGTTTAAAGAGACGTAAAATAATCACTGTCGTAACAGCCGCTTGCTGCCCTTACAGTGATGGGCCGTGTATGAATACGGGGGATTATGATGTTACTTGATCCTATTATTATTTCTGTGTATGTCTACTATTGTTATTTCTGTGTGTTCTTCTAGAAACAAACTTTGTTGCATTATTTTCCTGTAATCACTGTAAAGCTGCTTTGAAACAGGTGACTTGACTTGACTATGTCTTTATTATACTCGGTTAACTTGTTTTCTTTGCTTGCAGGATTGATTCACACAACCTTTATTAAAAAACATACAGTTAATGTGCTCAAATAATATATTAATATAAGCACAGGTATGAGGGAATATTAGTTATTACACTTGATTATAAACTTATTATAAACCTATGTATATTGTTGATGAAGATGGTGATTATGAAATTACTCTTATTTTTTTTATTTTATTTTTGCTTTGAAGTATCTTTATGTAATCCAAGTAGTGGTGATGCGTAAAAAATGTATTGAAATGATGGAATATTGAAAAGATGCCAAAAATGATACCAATTGCTCTTATGTATGCATGTTTACTTTTGTCTCAGTAGTAAACAGTTGTCTCTCTATCCTTTTTACTTTTATATGCATGTGAAGAAAAACTATTAAACTTCGATGTGTAATACAAAAGTAACTAAGAGTAGAGAGCATGTATGTATTAGATTAAGTGCTTATAAGAAAAATGTCATTGTAACGTAGCAGACTCAGAAAGAGCTGAGGTATCCATTTGCAGAGATTTATTTAGAAACAAAAGGGTAAATCACAGAGTCATAAGCCAGGCAGTAAAGACCGGGGTCAAAAAGCAAGAAAACAGTCCAAACATGCAATCAAATCCAAAACACAAACCCAAGAGAGTAAGGTAGACCAAGGCAGATAATCCAAAATCAAGGCAAGATACAACAATGGGAAAACATATGGAACTGCTGACCAGGCAAACAATATTTTGCTATGAACAAAGGAAATCAAGCTCCTTAAAGGAGAGCTCCGGCGCAAAATGAACCTTTGGTCTAATAAAACATTGGTACATAGTCACAACCATTCTCTGAGATTTGTTTTCATGATTATCGAATGTAAAGAGTTTTATCTCTAAAAACTGTTTAGCTTGTAATGCTAGTGTATGGGGCATAGAGTAATGAAAATACAAGGCTTAAAATAGCCCAACACTAACACGGTAGCATAATGAAGGTCCATACATGCAAAATGAAGCATTGAGAACTTTGTAAGTGTGCAGACCGTTTAATATTGATGCTTTGACGGAATATATTTTCCAAATGAAATACTTATTGTTTTCCTGTATATCATAAAAACATGAAAAAAAATCTTTAAATGAAATAGAAAAAAGGTTTCAAAAGAAAATAAATGTCATTTTTGCGTGTTTAACAGTGAGAGCACACACACACACACACACGTAATTAATTTTGCACAATTGTTAACATTGAAAAATGTTACTGTATTCATTGTTGCATATTTGTTTTTGTTTTTTAGTCTGTGGCTCTAAATGAGTTTTTAATTAGATTGACAACCCTTTATTGTTATAATGTATAAATTGCATAGGCTACTGGTTTCTGCACACCAATATGACTATTTAGCTATATATCTCACGTATTTAAACTCTTTAATATCATTGATCAACATTCATTTAAATATATATTTCACCAATAATTTATCTTTGAACGCAGCTGATATTTGGTGTATTGAAGGTCAATTTCTACACACATTTCAGATTTTAGTGCGTGAATAAGACTTTTATTTTGGAGTGGAAGGATGACGTCACAAGGCTGCGCCGCGCTCCAGCATCTGTTGTGATTCTGCTTAAGACAGGTTTGTGTTTTAAGCATTTAAAGTGTTTAAATCAATTTAATCGTTTTTACAAGCTATGTAAAATAAAATTAATTAATATTGAATGTAACATTATAGTATGTCATCTAACATTAATGACCGTTATTTGACTGCTCTTATGAGTAACCCCAGTTCTAGATGGGCTACAACTCTCTGAAAGAAACGACAACTAACCCCAGAAAACTCTCAACGTTTTATTATAACAGTATCCTCATTATAATGTGGTGTATATGACAGTCCCAATCATAGTTAATAATGTGCATGGCTGTTTGACCTGTGTGCCACAGATGACAATCTTGCGCTGGCCAAAGTTACACTCACTGAGACTGACTTAAGTTAACGTTACGTCCGTGCAGCATCCCACAAAAATAATAGTTTACAGTAACGAACGTGACTGTTAATAAGTTATTCATGGTGATGTAATATCCTGCTTGGGAGCGTATAAATCTAAATCAATAAAGCTGACGTTCCCATGATAGATTTATTTCGTGTCTTTCCTTGAATGAGCAGCTTGTGACTTAGCGATAGCACTTGTATTACAGAACAGCATTCAGTTGCATATACCAATCAAATACAGATGTGACACAAATAACACGTTTGAAAAAATATTACTGACTTTAATGCGTTTAATTGATATTCAAAAATATCACAAAATATTTTTTATTTAAGATTTTGTGTCACAATTACATCAGGATAGGTGCTCGATTAATCTGTCAGTAGTACTGGAGGTGTCACAATAACTCACGGCGTCTCGGTGACAATGTTGGTGTCAATGTGTTGCGATTATGTCAGTGACACATGCCAAAATGTATATATAGAATATATATGCCTAATTTTCTTATCGGAGCAATACATTTAAAAATGACCAATATTGATAAATCGTGCATCTAATATATAATATTAGTGCTCTCAATCGATTTAAAAATCATCTAATTAATCACACATTTTTCCTGTATTAATAATGATTAATCGTGATTATAAACATCAGATTTTAAAAATATTTTATATTTAATAATTTCAGTTACTCTACAAATAAATGTTGGACTAGTTCCACATGAGCTTCAGATGTTATCATGCTGTTCCCCAAAGTGTCGCCTTCAACGCACCGCAAGTTCCCTCGAAAGGGAACTGCTGATTTAGGTGCACCCAGAGAATCAGCGTTGATCTGTTTTTCTTTCTGTGACTTATTCTCATCTTAAACAGGGCAGAGTGTCCAAAAACTCCTGGTGAAAGAACTGAGATCCATGTGACACACTATTATAAAGATGGAGTTTAAAGAAAAGAGTGAAGACATGAAGATTGAAGAAACATTCAGAGTGAAACATGAAGATACTGAGACACAAACCGAGATGGTGTTTATTAAAAAGGAGAGTGAGGACATGAAGATTGAAGAAACATTCAGAGTGAAACGTGAAGATACTGAGACACAAACAAAGATGGTGTTTATTAAAGAGGAAAGTGAAGACATGAAGATTGAAGAAACCATCCAAATGAAACGTGAAGATAGTGAGACACAAACAAAGATGGTGTTTATTAAAGAAGAGAGTGAAGACGTGAAGTTTGAAGAAACACTCAGAGTGAAACAAGATGACACTGAGGAACACACAGGTTGGTTTCATTCTCAAAGCTGAACTCAGTCATTTAATCATTATTAAAATGTCCAGCTCTACAGAAATTAATTATATTTTTGAAGAGTGTCCGAATTAAAGTGGTTTTATTTGACACAGAGCGGGTCGCCTCGTGGACAGACATGTTGAGATCACATGACCAGACAAATACTAATGCTACTTCAACCTGAGAAGATCCGACTTCAATGTTGGACATTCGTTATTTAAACGCCACGCATTAAATGAAACATGCTGCGTTAAAGTGAGATTCTTATCGGGCAAAAAAAATTATCGCCGTTAATCTATTCTCAAAGTTGGGTTGGGAGCTGTGTCTATACTACACAAGTTATGTTGACTTTCAACTTGATATTTTAGTGCGGATGTATACCTTGCCGAATTGCACTGTAGGGGGCGAGAATGAGTCTTTGAACCTGTGTGTATACTAGGGCTAGCCTGGTAATACCAGACTCTGCTACTTCACTTTGCTTCGTAGACAGAGTCTGGAATGGCATAATAGAGAAGTGTTTTCTCTCTCGCAAGGGGGCGCTTCTCTGAAGTTTAAAATCATTGGTTACCCGTAAGCCAGTCAGATAAGTTTATTTATGACGTATGTTGTGCGCCGACACGGCCGCATCGAGACATTATGCATTGAACTCAAATCTATGATCGAACTTGCACTGTAAACAGGGAACGGCGCTTTTGTAAGGGCTGCAAAATGTGTGCCAACTGGGAATGAACAATTCACAAACTAGGTTATTAATATGAATTACTGAGTTGCGGCCGCTGTTATAATTTTAACCGCCAAATTCCCCGATCACATCCACCTACGCAATGTTGATCATATTCTGAATTAAGAAATCATAATGCAGTAAAAAATGATTTACAGGGAACATAAATAATCACTTTACCTTCATTTGTCACGTGACATACACAATGAACAGATCGTTCATGAATCACATATCTGGGACTAATGCAGCAGGATGTCGAAACGAAATATGGTGGATTATTATTATGATAATAATAATCTGATAATAAGAGCGCACCAGGACCGTTCACAGCCGAGGAGACCGACTTTCTTGTCATGGCCGTAAAAGATGGAGAACTGACGTTGAATGGGGGTAAGTTATGTCCTCATAGTTATGCATATAGTTATGGCCAGAGCCATGTATTTAGAGAGTTATGACAGTCCCGTAGACCGCCATTGTAACTCAGGAATGCGGAAGTAACGCGTGTCATGGACCCGCCCATTAGTTCCAACCACTGATAGTTCCAGCATTGAACCCCATTCATTTTCAGTGCTTCCGATGTCCTCTCGCTGGTAAATTAATGAAATTACTGTAATTTTTTACTTTTACACACATTAGCCGACCTCTCGTGAATCTAGTCTGTAGTTATATGTTATGTAGCCAGATCTAGTAAATGTTTATTGGAAGATAATAGATTAATTGCAGCGATAGCTTACGTGACCAACACTTCACTAACGTTGTTAGCTAACTTATGGTTACCTGATGTATATAATATTTTTTTCTAACATGATATAAATATATAAATATATATATATATATATATATATATATGAAGAGTTCAGATGCTAAAGCCTCTAAGTGCCATCTGAAATTTTCTTCTAGAATGGTCATTTTTATCAAGCTTGTATATTTAAGTTCAGTGATTTCACTTAAATGGCAATGATAATTACCTATTAATTGTTATTTAAGTGAAATTACTGAACTTAAATATACAAGTTTGATAAAAATCATCATTAAAGAAGAACATTTCAAATGGCATTTAGAGGCTTTTGCATCTGAACTCTTCATATATATAATATTAGATATACAATATACATACATACATATATATATATATATATATATATATATATAATATTAGATATACATATACACACACACAATTGATTTATTTAAATGGTTTAGGGTTATGCATGTGTTTGTGTAATGTATATAGGCATACATAATATATATATATATATATATATATATATATATATATGTATTTGTGTGTGTTTTCTGATGAATGGTTTAGTCTATGAATAGGGTAGGATGAAGGGCTACATTAGCCACTGAATTGAATCCCAACAGTTGTGGATCATATTTAGGAACAAATATTTAACTCATTAACTCATCATCATCATCATATCTTTATTCAGGACATACATATTAAATGGTCCATAGCACTATACAAAATAAAGTACATTCAAAATAGAAAAGATACCTAACAGTTAAAATTTACCGAACATTACTGTAAATATGGTCATTGCTACATCATGGGAGCAGTCTATATCCCTCCTAAATCATTCATTTGTACATGCACAGCATAATTATTTATATTTTATGTTGGTTGTCATGATTGTTATCCTGAACGGGCCACCGGTCCACAGGTCTTTGCGTGATCACGGTAGGCTAATGGCTGAATCGGAATTTATAAGCAAGATCACGGGAATCAATAACCTACATCCCAGTTGTGCAAAAATAAATATCATGAGACGTCCATCATCAGATGAATGACATGGAAAAGTTAAGTAAGAGCCGTTAAAGCCAGTGCAACTACCAATGCGAACATAAACACAAGCTTTTCCCTCCAAAAATATAGCCTAAAAAACATCTAAGTTGTCACCCTGCCTCTCCAAATGCAACACTGACATTAATCAAACGCAATAAAAGCTTAAAAAGTACTTTGGTGTGCGTTTTATTTTATATTTACCGTTTAATAATGCAATCGCTGCTGTCTGTCCATTGAAGAACATGACAGCCCGCGTCTGTTTTGGAACTATTGGGGCTTCCATGAACCACGTGACAGCCTTGCGGCGACATCAAAGCGTGTCGCAACTCTCTCAATACATGGCTCTGGTTATGGCCAAACAGGTCTGATCCGTCATTACTACAATTAGCCTGAAAAAAAATTGGGTAGCCTAAATGCCTAAGCTTGAAGTGTTAATATTTTTCCTTGTTATAATGATTTGCAAAAATAAAAACGGCTGCATGTCTGTGTTGATGAGAGAATCAAAAGTGTATGCGCGTTGTGCAAGCTACATAATGGCCAAGCATGCTGGTTTTTGCTGGTATAGCTACGTTGCAAATAGAGGGGCAGCAAAATTGTTTTTTGCCTAGAGTGGCAGAAGTGCACGCGCCGGTCCTAGCTGTAAACACTGATGATGCGAGCGAAATACCGGAGTGAACATGGCTGTAAATGACTTTTGCTTCAGTTTGAAAAACCCTGGAATGTTTTCCATAACAGAGCGAATTGCATCCCGTGTCTTGTTTCCCCATTTCTGTGCGGTTGTTTTGGTTTTCGATTTCTCTAACCTACAATGTAAACTCGGCGCTTAGCGTCTACGTCACGGCTCTCAGCCCGCCCTCTGTTCGTTGATTGGCCGGCTGTTTTCAGACCGGTGGAAAACTGAAAGATAGGCCGCTATCTCAGACTCACTACAGGAGCGAAATGAAATTAGCGGAAGTAGAGAGTCTGACGTAGTCAGGCTGTACTAGGGCTGCAACTAACGATTATTTTGATAATCGATTAATCGGACGATTATTTTTTCAATTAATCGGGTAAAAAAAATCCTATAAGATTTTTTGTTTAATTTAACTGAATAAACCCCTGAATCAGGGTTGTGGCGAGCAGGAGGAGGCTGAGGAACATGAGAGATGTGAGGTGTCTCTCACAGGTGTCGTTCAATATCACACACGCCACCGGTCTTACATCGCTCTCTCACATCCCTCGGCCTCGTCCTGCTCGCCACAAGGGTATTTATGTGTAAAAGTGTACTTTAAAAAGTGCAAAAGCCACACATCGAGTTTTACTAATATCAATATTTGCATTGTTTTCAATAATAATTGCTGATGGCAAGTTGACAACCATGATTATTGTAAAAAAAAAATTATATATGTTTTAACACAATTTGTGTTCACAAATTTACACAGACATGTTGTTCAGATGTGAAGATATAAACTAAAAACATCTCAAATATTTAATTCATTTATTTTTTTTTTAATTATAAGGATAAATTGACAATATAGAATTTAGAAAGACTGAAAACAAGCGTTTGAATGTTGAGCTGCAGTTGATCGCGTTTGAAAAACAATTAAAACTTAAAGGGTTAGTTCACCCAAAAATGAAAATTCTGTCAGTATTTACTCACCCTCATGTTGTTCCAACCCCGTAAGACCTTCGTTCATCTTCACAACACATTAAGATATTTAAGATATTAAGATCACTCCTGCATAGTCCATAGGCTTCCTGAGGGACTGGCTCTTGCTGTCCCCGAAAAGTCATTAAAGACATCGTTAAAATAGTCCAAGTGACTACAGGGGCTCAATCTTAAGTTTATCAAACAACGAGAACACTTTTGTGCGCAAAAAAAACAACAAAAATAACGACTTTATTTCAACTATTCACTTCCTTCTCTATGCGCCTCTAGTCAGTTAATGTAGTGTGATAGCGTAGAGCTACGTCACACGCAGGCTCACTATTGGCCGACGCTGGTCATGTGTGTGATGCGTGTGACGTACAATAACAGAAGCTTACGCTATTAAACTAGTAACCTGATTCGCGCAGAGGGAGAAATAAACGAATAGTTGAAATAAAGTCGTTATTTTTGTTGTTTTTTTGCGCACAAAAGTGTTCTCGTCGTTTGATAAACTTAAGATTGAGCCGCTGTAGTCACTTGGACTATTTTAACGATGTCTTTAATGACTTTTCGTGGACAGCAAGAGCCAGTCCCTCAAGAAGCCTATGGACTGTATGCAGGAGCGATCTTAATATCTTAAATATCTTAATTTGTGTTCCGAAGATGAACGAAGGTCTTACGGGGTTGGAACAACATGAGGGTGAGTAAATACTGACAGAATTTTCATTTTTGGGTGAACTAACCCTTTAAAGACAAATGCTATAAAAAGAGAATGGAATAGAGGCAAGGCAAGGCAAGTTTATTTATATAACACATTTCATACACAATGGCAATTCAAAGTGCTTTACACAGAAGAA